AAAAAATTAAAAAAATTTTTTTTTATATAAAATCTTATATTAAAATTTATATTACGGTTAATTAACGGTTAATTAACCGGTTAATTAACCAAATCTTAATTAACCGTTAATTTCCCATCCCTAATCACGATCTAAAAATTAAAAATGAAGTGGTACAATAATTATGGAAGTCACTGTATATCGAGAATTGGATATGTAATGGCATTTGTATTATGTGATAAGATTTTATAAATGATCGTCAAAATTGTGATAAAATATAGATGTCCGCTATGCTTATGATGGATGTCCTTGTCCTTGAGATCGTTAACATCCGTGCGCATATAACATCATCTATAGCATAAATAGCGCAATCCGCAAAATTTTTTTCTTTTTCTTTTTTTTTTTTTTTATCCTATGTTTTTATTAAAAGACAAGTTTGGAGGTATCGCAACGTACATCAAAAGCCATACTTTTACAAGTATTATGATATACAGTATATTCTATTTGAAAAATTTATTATAAAAATCTAAAAAAAGTCTTACAATTCACATCAACTTATATTTACAACTAAAAAAAAAAAAAAAAAATTCCTTAAAAAAAAGGGAAAATAAAATAAAAAAAAAAAAATAATAAAAAAAAATAAAAATAAAAAAAAAATTCACAAGATTATAGTTACAAAAATTTGTTATGTATTAAATAAATATTTAAACTATTTATATAAATCGAATAAAATCGATCTTAGGAGCGAAAGAAAAAAAAAATGATGTATCAATAAAATAAAAATAAAAAAAGGTTTAATAAAAATAATCTACAAATTTGCCAATTCCTGTCAAATTCATTCATTCTAATCCCGACCCAAAATTAAAAACAAGATCCCCAATGCCGTTATCACCACCTACGTCTCTACCACCGCGTTGCAATTCAATCACACTATTACTTGGTAATTCAACTTCGTTATCACCATCTGGTGAAAAAAAGAAATTTCCTTCTTCACTTATAAAGTCTTCTGTATTTTGTTCGATTCCCTTAGTGAAAGTTTCAACTTCGCTAAAAGTGGTTTCAGATGTGTTTACCGATGAAGAAGAAGAAGTGGATCTTGTAAACGATAGCGTATGTGGAGTAATTGTAGCATTACTCGCTAAGATATTTGGAGAAATATTAGCGTTGTTTAACTTGGATGATTTTAATACAGTCGATGACATATAAGGATTGATATTGTTATTAGCGGTTTTGGTAGGGATATTATTGGCAATATGAATGTGATATGCGTCCTCAAACGATAATGGTGTAATTGCTAATATATAAAGTAATAAATGTTTTAAACGTTCAATAAAAAATTTGTGATAAATAAGAAATAATTGATGAAATAAAATTGTACTTACATAAGTCTCCTGAATTTGTTTGCGCATGTCCGTTAGTGAAACCATTTGACGTACGATCTTTAGTTTTTGTGCTAACAGCACTCAATGTTGGACTAGATGGTGAAAAATCGAGAGAAGTACGCATGGCAGATGATAGACTCTCAGATATATCGCCACCTTTCCCAATAGCTTTACCAGCCTGGATAAGGACAGCCTTACTTGTTCTACCTTGACCGCGCACATCATAATTGCCCTCTCCGTTATTTACCCACCCATTTACCTCCAAAGAACTTGTATCACTAGCAACTTCATCTACCATTTCGACACGTTCAACTATGTCCCTTCGAACTTCAATTTTCCTCGAACGTGGTATTTCACCTTTACGAATGGTTTCCAAATGACCGGTTAAAAATGTTTGAAAGGTGAATTGAGGACTAGCCCACAAAGGTGGTGGCAATGAACTTCTAGAGCTAGTATGTGTGGAAATTTCAGCATTCGCCAACCATTTATTATTATTGCCATCTCTTTTAGCCAATGTATCAGAATGTCTCGGTGCTTCAAGAACATTTTTAACCTCGGCCCAATTATTACCACGTAAAATTTGCCATTCAGCAACATCTTCATAATTCGTAATCATATCTAAAGTGCCAGCTTCCTTTCTTGTGACTCCTGTAATCCCCCTTCCCATTCCTACAACAGTCGTTGCCCCACCAACCAACACTCTACCAACATTTGCTACAGCAGCTGCACTACCAGCCAAAGGTGTACCAGCCATTGTAATTAAATTGTTCGATTCTTGACTATCTCCTTGACGTGAGGAGGAATTTTGTTCTCCGACCACAACTCCTTCCATCCATATTCTATGCAAAGTTAAAACACCAGCTGGATGAAAACTTAATACATCCTGATACCCAATATCTTCTTGTTTAGATTCTAAATCTTCCACTTCAAGATATTGGCGACCGGAATTATTGGCAGCCGGCATATAATTCTGAGACCATGATCGAGTTCTTCTTCGTCCACTTTTGTTATGAGAATTTGCAGACGCTTTTCCATCATAATTAATGGATGTTCTTTTGGCTTGCCTTTTTGCTTTTAAATTAGCAAATAAAAGTCCATCATGATTAGCTGTTTTAGAATTATCAGATAATGAAGGAAGAAATTTAATGCACATTCCCGGGGGCTTCCTCATAAGATAGAAAGAATTCATAGGAAATCCGTTAGGAAATGATAGATTTGATTGTCCATTAAGATGATGATGAGAAGACATATTATTAATATTGTTATAATAAGGCAATGGACTGAGATGACGTGAAGGACTAGTAGTTGTGGAAGAAACATTTGATTCAGGAGGTGGGAATGAATAATATTCATGAGGATTCATAGGAAACATATTATTTGAATTTTGTGAAGATCCGCTAGCAGCTACATCAATTGGATCCGGTGGTAAAGGGGTACGTGGCTTAATTCGCACAACTGGAGATTGTGTAATCGAACTATACGGTTCGTCAACATTTTTAACAAAACCCGATATATGAGAGGGTATATGAGAAGGTCCTCCATAAGGATTTATTGCAAATATGTGAATCGTTCCTTTACCACTAGCTACAGCACACCACCTGGAATCCCCACTCCATCCAACGCCACCTTCACCTACACTAGCATAAGTATAACCTCGTGATAATATATACATATGTTTCGTGCTTTTGTGATTTCTATCTCGGCGATGCTTACCAAGAATCTCAAAGACATGAAATTTGCTACCTTGAACAGAAGTTGAAAATAATAAGGTACCGGAAGGGTTAAATGATAATTGTCCAACGTGATGGGTATGTGGGGCAAAGTGTGCAACAATTGAAGGTTCCTTAGAACCAGACGGTGCGCCAATGTCACGAATAATTATCTAAAGAAAAAAAAAAGGATTAAACCTTGAAGGAATTAAAATATTATGTCTCAAAGAACCTATTACATACTGCTCCTTTGGTTCCGTCATCTTTGTCAATTTCAATTCCGTTGTTAACCGTAGCGATAAAACCATTGCTATTATCACTGCTATTGCTACCAACGCTACCAGTTCTCGAATTATAATAATAACCATTAGATGGACTAGGTGAAGGAATATTGATTGGCATGGAAGAAGATTGCTTTATTTTTGTTATAGATTGTGAGTTTGACGCATTCGCAAAGTAGGCTGAAAGTGTCTGATATCCATAATCCCCTTTTTTAAAAAAAATAAATTTAATTTTTTTTTCTTTAAATAAAAAAAGGGGAATAAAATGTTAAAACATCCTACCCAGAAATTTTACACCATTCACGACTTCCTTTGCAACTCCCTTAGCAACATCTTGATATTTAGCTGAAGAACCACCGATTAAATCATCACCATCTCTATAGTCGCCATCCTTCTTACCATCAGATTCAAGCGGCTGACTAGTTGTTGCATATGCCAACAACCTGGGTCCCAATGTAAAAACTGGAGCTCGATTCGATGGATGAAGCGCGACATCATGTAATGGTGATTTAAATAGGGGAGCCAGTGTCAAGGGTGATATTATATGTAGTTTTGCAGGAGTGTTCATACCGATAACAATCGCTCGTTCGTTACATCTTACACCAACGATATTTCCTTCATTCTCGAAGTCTAAAGTATGCACAACTTGATGTGTCTTTAATGAATAAAATTTTAACGAACTTTTTGGTTTTGAAAATGGTTCTTGAAGTCCATTTTCACGTGTTGAAGTCGATGTCGAGCTAAAATGAATAAATAATGATATTTAATTATTGACAAAACTACAATCAATTCTTATTTATATGACTTACACTAAACCAACTAGCGGCCGAGCTTCTGCAAATTTATCACGAACATGTTCCGAAGTATAATGTGGATTCGGTATAGACTATAACGACAAATGAAAAGGAATTAGTATAAAGTAATTGAATAGAATATATTTTATTATACAAACCTTTATATACGTGACTTCACCGAGCTTTTCTTCGTCTCTTATAGATATGAGTTCGTGGATATTATCCACACTTGATACATTCCATATCTGAAATCCATCAGGATAACCTAACATAAGAACAGATTGACTGATTTAAAGTTTTAACAAGTAAGTAAATTTCAAATTTGATATTAATTAGACCAAAACCAGTTTGATTCAACAATTACCTTACTGATGCGTTAGGTTTGTTAGAAGATGCAAAGACGATTTCATCAAAACCAGCATATACTATAACATCCTTTTTTTTTTTTTCAAACTTCCCATCAGTAACTGAATGATTTTGTGGATCTGTATCGCTAGCAAACTGCTGTGGTAAATAATCTGAATATTGATGATTTAATGGGTGCTGATAAGCATTATGGTCAGGCGTAGCTTTACGTAGTGAAGTAATCGAAGTAGGTAAATATGAAGAAAGTCCATATAAAGCTGAAGAAATGGACTCTAACGCCGAGGGATCTCTGATAATAGAAGAGGTAATTAGAACTGTCATCTTGAAAATAGGTTAAAGTGGCTTATAAAACTAAACATTCAACCAACTTTAAAAATCTTGGGTCAGCCTTGACCCCGGTGATATTGTTAAGTTGAGGAATTGAAGACATTATATAAGCTAAGAAAATATAATATATATATAAAGTTGGAAATAAAAAATAAGTCTTGTTTATTATAAATTTTTATATTATATTAAATATTAGAAGTTGTGCTTCAAAGGATAAAGTGAAAAAGAGAGACTAATGTTTTGGGAGTTGGGTGAAGGGGTTTTATCTACTAAAAGTAACAGTTTCCCGCGTATAAGTCCAAATCCAAATTCGGGAAATAATTATTTGTCACTTGTGATTATGAAAATAGTAATACCATTTAAATCGTGATGAGTAGATGCTGCGTGAATGATGTGCAGATGACCACATCAATCCCTTTTATGGTCATTATGACTCTTTATTACACGTAATATATTACACGTAAGATTCTTTAACTAATTGGATACGAAAAATGACAACCTCGAAGAATTTAGAAAAAGGCAGAAAAAGAACATGGAGAGGCTGGAGAAGAGTTGAAAAAGTTCGAGGAGGAAGGAAAGTTGAATGACTGGAGGGCATGTTGTTGGACTAAGGATGACCACTTCCGATCGGCGAACTCGTGAATATTTCACGCATTACCTACAGGAGATAGATGAAACAGCACGACCCGCCAGAATAGAAAAATTTAAATTTCTCAGAGTCTTGCTGGAAAAATTCAAATCGGTGGATGATGTACGTGAGTTAATTTGTATGTTTTGGAGTTTGTCGCGATATGAATGAAGCATTTGATATGCAAACTGAAGGTAATATCATCACGTTAGAACAAGTTGATGTTAAGTTCAACCATGTTGCACAAATCGAGTTGGAGAGCTCAAAAGGGCTGGGCGTGTTTATGGGATATGTTAGACTTATCTATTGAAAAGAGTGCGGACATAAAAATGCTGGGCTTTCAATGTATAGATAAGGAAAATAATAATGTATCTTGTTTTTCTTATTCTATTCTTTTAATCACTTTTTATCATTTATAGATTATAAAGTTGATTATTATGACCTTGTCCAAGGAAATATATGATGATTAATATCGGACAAGTATTTGTTCCAGCATCCCTAAAGGATATGTCTTCATTTTAGATAATATTGAATTATCTTTAGGAGTAAAAGATATTTTTCGCAAATCTTATGAAAATCGTCTTTGTAATCCAAGATCATTAACAAAAAAAGCAACATTCAGACAAGAATCCCTTTGCACTCCAAAGTTCCGACAGCTAGTCAGTAAGACACATAATGTTAAGAGAAGCTGTCTATTTTGGTTTGTCCATTTTGGTTTTTGGACTTTTTTAAAATTTACATGGGAAATTATTTTTTAACCAATATGCAAAGTGACGGCGTGAAGAATTCTTCTTGCGCACGTGATATTTTATTCATTGATTGGAATTAAATGATTTTTCCGCTACTCGGCCTTTTCTCAAGAAAATTATTAAAATTAAAAATTTTTACGATTGATCTACTGTACATTCCCCTGATGTGGGTCATGGGAAAATTTTACTAATATAGTAATGACTAATTTTTTTATGAATTTTAAAGTTAAAATTCCTTAATATTCAATTTTTTTTTTTATTAAAAATTTATATTAATAAACTTTATTTACATTTATTAATATCATGTGAGGTGTCCTTTAGCTTTAACTACAGTTTGAATACATCTTGTCATACTTTCAACTAAATTTTGATAAATTGATTCATCTAATTTAAATTATATATATTGAATAATTTGGTTTCATTTTTTGGCAAAGGAAATACACTTATAAATATGATATTTTAACTCATTGCAAATATTTTCAAGAGGGTTAAGAGAAGTTGATCAATATTATTTTCTGAATTCAAGTGTTATCATTCTAAAATATATAATTATTTTGATTATTTAACCCTTCTAAATAAGGTAGCAAATGGGTATTTAAAATATTAATATAACCATTTGCATTTTGTTTATCATTAATTCAATTAAAGAATTTAAATTAAATGAATTAAAACATTTTCAAACCATTACACCTTTACAAACTAATTTAAAATTCTCAGTGAAAAGAAATATTAATATTGCAACTATTTTTAGCTGCAATATCACTATTATTCTAATTTAGGTCATTATTTATATTACTAAATTAGATAATAGAACGTTTATTTATAAAATAAAATTGTAAAAAAGATCATTATTATTATTTACATTTCATTTAAACTTACAAAAATATTGAATTCTCTTAAAATACAATGGAACGTCATTAAATCACTTTAGTAACAAAACATACTGTATACAGTTAACTCTTTTTACAATGAATTTTGATATAACGAATTTTACAATACAATGAATTTTCAGTGTCAGACAGATTTTTAAATATAAAAAAACCCTTATTATACTGAATTTAGTAATTAAAAATTTGTACTACGTTTAACGAATTAAAGTCAAAAAAATTTATATATAAAATGACTCTCTTTATAACGAATTTTCTCTATGACGAATTTTTTTTTTGATACAACGAAATTTTGCTTAAAATGAATTTTACTAGATTTATGTATATAAAATTTTATAGTTCTTTGTACCTAGTTTTTAAATAAAATTAAAAAATGATAAATATTCATATTATGTATTGTGTTTTGTATTTCATTTTTTTTTATATATTTTATTTTTTACGCGTTTTTTTTCTTTGCATAATGCCAATAATGCCAAAAGTAAATTCAAAAAAATAACTTAATCAACCTACTAACAAACAAGATGAACCTTTAAAAAAATGAAAGTCTCTTACAGCTGCACAAAAAAAAGAACTTTGTTTAAAAAAAATAACATCATCTTTTTTAAAATAAAAAGACTTAGTTAATGAATATGACGTTAGTGAAGGCATAATAAATGACATTTTAAAAAGAAAGACTGTTGGCTTTCTGTGAATATCAATTCATACTAAGTCAATTTGAAACATGATAAGAAAACTCTATTCTTTCTTATTAAAGAAGCATTAGTAATATAAATAGATAACACACTTAAAGCTAACCTTATTATTACTGTAGATATTCTTTTAATAAAAGCCTTAAGTTTTGCTTTTTTATTAAAGGAGAATAAGTTTAAAGGGTCTAGTGATTAAGTAGATAACTTTAAAAAATGATACAATCTTAAACAATACATTATACATGAGGAAGTTGCAAATGCACTGCTCAAAGATCTCGAAATAATGAAAGAGAATCTTTGGCAAATATTAAAAAAATATAATCTTAAAGATATATTCAATTGTGATGAAACTAGAGCTCTGAATAGGTCAGTTCAGGTCAAGTCAATCAAGTATCTGAACTGAGAGAACCAGATCAGGTTAAACAAAAATCTAACTTGATTTAAATTTTCATTTGACCTGACCTGACTTAACCTAATTTAACCTAATTTGATCAAATTATTTAAATTATTTAATAAACAATATTATATTTAATTCAATTTAAAACTCTAATTTATTTGTTATTTTTCTTTTGCTTTTTCTGTAAAAAAAATTGTATGCGAAATGATATAGAAATTTTTAATTTGATGATTAAGTACAGTTACATGATTAATTACAGTTGCATAATTAATTATAGTTATACTAAAATCAATTTTCTAATCTTTTTTTTTTCTTTTTTTAACAAAAAAAAACACTTTTATTTTATTTAACATAATCTTTAAAAAAATGGGGTCTTTGCAATAGAAAGGGAGGAAACTCCAAAAAAATTAAAATTTTAGTTTATAAGCCAAAAATGTTCAAAATACTATAATTTGTTTAGATTTATTATTAACTCATTTTTTATTTTTTTTTGAGTTTCCTCCCTTTCTATTGCAAAGGCCTCATATGTATGCGAATATATTTTGGTTTGATTTCGATTTTAAAAATTTAATGTGAACGATGATTGACGCTATACGTGACAATAACCTTGCATTTTTTATTGGTCAAATTTTAGATCTGCCCCTTGCGAAATAAGTCCGAATCTGATAACTTTTTAAATAATTAAGCTAATCCAAAAATGTAAGCCGACTTTTTTAAAAGAGCATAACCTAAATTATTTAAAAATCGATTTAATTTTCTAAATGTCTTTAAGATGTTTTGCATCATCAGTAACACAAAATTTGGTAATAAACAAATCCACAAATTTCATTCGTTAAATTTTTAAATTTTTTCGCGAATATGCAAGAAGTTTTCACCGACCCATACTTCGAAAACACCGCATCAAAGGACTTTCGATTCCTAGATTACTATCGTCACCGGCAGAAACAAGCTGATTTTTACTTTTTCATTTTCAGAAGAGGCAGACAGGCTTTGGCGTTGTCTGGAATCGTTGGCGGATGACGTTAAATCAGCTGCCAAGCGGATGCAAAGCTTGCTTCAGGGTTTGTGCTTTTTTTTGTTATAGCTGACAGGCAATGTGGGGGAACCATTGTAAGTCCCGAGAAGGGAAACATACTTCCATGGCTACGGTGGGTGTGGTGCACCTACCTTACGGTGGAGACAAGCTTGGTTCTACCAATCTTGTTGAGATGGGACCCTTCATTGAGTCCTGAGAAGGGGTACATACTCGGCGGGCTAGATACCCGACCTTACGGTGGAGCCGTTGTGATCTGCATGCCAGCTTCTTCTTAGAAACAAAGTAGTTAATATTCGAATATTTAATAAGTTATGTTTCCAAAAAAACAGCTGCACGACGTTTTTCGGAACACTGACCACGATGTTTAACTTTTATTAGCATATATTATTTGTTAAAGCAAATATATTTGATGATTACAAGGATGAAAAACAATAACTATGTAGCCAATATGATTATTATAAACATAACGAAATTTAAAAATCCTATATTAATGAAGCTTTTTTTGGTTCTTATTCTTGCCTTTTTTCTTACTTTTTTTCTTGTCACTTACGGGGTGAGAATTGCATTCTTCTGGCAAATCCAAATCTAAAAGAAAAGAAATTAGTTATATTAAGACAAAGAACCAGCAAAACATGCGTAAATATCGGATAGCTCCCACACAGTTCCATCTAATGAGACGCCCCATGGCGCTGGTTTCTCTGGTTTCTCTGATATTGCATTGAAATAATTCCCGAAAAACCATAACATATTAGTCATAGCTTCCCATCTGAATACACGTTCGTAGCAGTCCAGAAAAAATAAGTCACAGTAACAACTCCCGATAATAATTATATGATTAAAACCGCATTGTGCAATATCTAATAAGTAACGATAAATATTATCTTTTTGAAGATCACCGCTTTGTATCTCTATATCAAGAGATTTTGCAATGTGACAACGGTCTGGTTCATTCTCAATCATTTCGACTTCCAAAGTCGGATTATTGCCAGATAAGACGAATCTATTATCGTACGACAATAGGGACATGGATTCATCGATTCTCCATTTTGGTCTACTGTCAGGGAGTACAACGTAGCACGGTGTTTTCGAGTAGTCTTCTTTCCATGAAGCGCCCTCCAGGGTACCGACTCTGAACAATGGCCCCAGGATTGTGAGTAACCTTTGAATTTTTTCTCGGTTTGGACATTCAAATACATCGTTTTCATCATTTTTACTCTCTCTTTCCTTGCTTGTTCGATAATGTTGTATATCTCTCTGTTCTCTGCTTTCGTTTTGCCGGTCTTTCCACGAATTGATACCCCGAAAAAGTAATTCCTGACGCTCCCTTTCCGAGTGGAGAATGTGAGATTTACCGTGGTTGGAGGAGTTTTTCCCTTCAGATTCCCCACTTCCAGTAATTTTTCCACAAGGACTAACTGCATTTTCTCCAGATATGCGACCTGATTTTCGAATTTCTTCATTGGAGGATTTGCAATGTAATTGCATTTCACTTTTGGAGATCGACTTATGCTGTACATCCAAAGAAGGCTACTGCAACCCAAACAGTGATGATAAGAATCGAACGACCAAATGGTAGGGTCACCATCTTGACCTCGTGGCCATAAGGCATTACAGTTCCCCTCAACCTGCATAAATAATGTTTTGTTAAATCACAAATTATACCTTCTAGCCTTCAGAATTCAAAGAATTCTTTTTATTTTTTTTCCAAGTCAGACCACGATAAATTAAACTACAGTCAGAACGACTATGCGATATAACGAATTCCACGATAAACGATATTTTAAAATTTTGTCTTTGTAAACATATATAAAGATATTTATATCAAACAAATTAAATTTTGACAGCGAATTTTTACAGTGAACCGGAGGGTTTGTTATATCGAGTTCTGGCTGCACTCCCATTTACTTTTTTTCGTGTAAAAAATTCACCTGTAAGGATCTATCCATGGTTCGCGTAGTTTATTAAGCCAGGCGTTTGTTCCAAATTTATCTTGAGCCTACTTGCTATTTTTCATATAAAGCTGAGAGATGGACAGATCGTGTTTCAGTTTAGATTACTAAGCAAAATTTTATATACTCACTTCCACGATCATCATACTGATGCTGTACATGATGAAGTTTATATTTGTGCTAATGGGGTATAATCGATATGAACATATTTTTTTTTTTGATTCATTTTCACATCGCTTAGAATGGACGTCCAGATTAGCCACAGAACTTCGCCTGTATTCTAACGAGATCATCAATCTAAATAAATGCGCAGTGACATTTAGTATATACAGTACGTCACACATATCACAGTATCACGGAATAAGTAATTGCGTTAAATAATTTATTCTCAAACTTTCTCAAAATTCTTACGTATATTATTTTAAAAAAAAGGGCCCCTTTGATGATCTTTACATATGGATAGCTTTTATTGTTAAATTAAGGAGAGACCGTTGATCAGATTTTCATGATGCGATCATATCAACATATTAACGTAATTTCCCCAAAAAGCATATCCCAAAATTGATCCTGCAAATTATATAAATGGTGATTAAATCTTTTTATCTGCCTTGTGCAAATATAAGCAAGAATCGAAAAATCAAACAAAAATTCTAATAAAATTAACAAAACTTAAACCTACCATTATTTGCGTCATCGATATTTACAATCAAACGAACCCATATATTCCACAAAGCAATAATAAAGTAAGTTGGTTATTGCTCAGCTAGCTTCTTGAAACATTTCATCATGACGTTAGATGTTCCAAAATAAAACGGCATATTACTCTTCTAGTTATATATCGGCATTTTGATCTTCGCCGAGAAAATCGTGATTGCCGGCACATGTCAAATCAGCGCAAGCTTAATCTTTTACATGAGCTATGTGGGATAGTTTAATAGTCACGTGAAAGATCGTAATTTCTGAACTAAAAATCAGTAGTTACTCTTAGTGCATATCATTAACGTCCACTAATAAATTCTCAAATTAATATCGCTTTTAACATCACCTCCAAAACTGAAACCACAGAGCTTATTTTCAAAGTCGTTATGCGATAGCAAGAGAGACTCCCCAGCGTGGTAACATCACTACTCTCACTATTTTTCACGTCTTTGAAACGCGTCGCACAACTATTCCACAATCCAAGCCTTTACCAAGTGATCTGATGTGAGTTTGAAATTAAAGGACTAACAGGTCACTGATACGCCAGCCAGAACTGAAACTTTGAACTTTAGGCCATGCAACTTCGATTTTTCGGTTCATGTCACCCGGCCGGGTCACTTTTTCAAATTTTAACAAAAAAAAGTTTATATATAAAAAGTTTATAATATAACTATAAAGTGTAATTTTATTGGTAGATTAAGCTTTATCGTATTATCGTAATGTATAATTCCTTTCTTACAATTCATTAATTTCCCAAGCAATACTTTGTGATGAAATTTTTTCTCCAAATAATGTTTTTGATGGTTAAACTTCACTTCAAAATCTGCTTCCCACCAGTCAGGTGATAAATATAGAATCGATATATTTCCAACAAAATCTTTTATTTTTTGTTCTTTATCAACAGGTAAACCTATCCAATCTATAGAATTGTAACTTATTTTTACATTATAATAGGCATTTTGACGGAATTAAGATGATTTTGAAATTGAAATGTGATTGTCGTATTATTAGGCCGGGCAAAAAAAATTTTAAATTTTTACATAAAATTTTAAAATTGACACGGTCATCCGTTTTTTTTTTTTATATGTATTGCTATATTCTAAATCTTATATTACACAAATAAAGATAAATCTATGTAAATCTTTCTTTCGCCGCTTTCTTTGATATGTCGATTTTATTATGTAAGGTCACATGATAAAAATTTTACTATAAAAAAAAATCCTGAATTTTGTAAATCTGAAAATTTTACTTTCTCTGTGTTTCACAGAATTACAGGAAATCACAGAATATGAATGATAATTTTCAAAATTTTGGCCCGATTTATCATCGTAATACTGGCAGATATTAAGTTTGGTCAGAATTTGCGAATCGTAATGTTGGCTGATCTTGCATAATTCTGGCTAAATCATAGAATTTTACAAATTAACTTTTATCACATGCAGATTCATCCTTAATCATCACAGAAAATCATCATCCCTGACATGGCCTTGTTTTCTTAAAGATTGACCAATAAGATAGCATAATATTTAAAGTCAATTTTCTATAAATACACTCCCCTTGGAATTAGGTATAAGGATGCATTTAAAGAGGATATGTATTTATAAAAAATATATAAATCTATATAATATGGGAGGCAGTCAGTAGAAAAGAAAAAAATCTACTTTTAGTCAAAAATTTTTTATTGATTTACTCTGCTGATCATGATTATGTGAACAAAATTAGCTTAATAATTAAAATTATTCAAAATATGTAGATATTCCTCTTTCCTATTAACTGTTTCTATATTAATCTAAAATTAAGGTAATATAAAAAACTTATAAGTAACTTTAAAAATTTTTTACAAAAAGTATGTTTACAGAGAATACAGGGGGGTATAAAAAGTATTGGTCAGTTTTGAAAATTTTATTACAAGACAATTAACATATTAACTTTATTTTTTTATTTTATTTCATTGAACTACAGGTTAATATTTCGTTAGACTTTTATTTGCAGCAAAAACGGTCTGAACCTGATGTAACATTGACTTGATCAAATTTTAATAATAATTTACAGGTACCGCATCCCATTTCTCTTTAACTCATTGCTCTAATTGCATAACACTTGATGGCTGAAAATCACGCTTACGAATTCTAACCTCAATATATGACCAAATGTTTTCTATAGGGTTAATATCTGAATTTTACGCTAACCAGGGAAATAACTCAACATGCGAGGATTTGATGAGAGAACGTGCAACTTTTGCAGTGTGGACAGGTGCATTATCTTCTTGAAAATAAAAATTTTTTTTGATCTTTTTCACATGAGACTTAACTGTGGGAATCGTATAATTAACCAAGATATTATGATACGTATTTCCAGTTACGTGACCAACCAAAGGAACTAAAAGACCTATACCAACCCAGGAAAAACACCCTCAGAACATGTGACTAAAGCTCTTTTGAACCGTGGCTGCAATACAGTCTTCATGAAATTCTTCAGAAAGTTTACGCTATACTCGCCTAAAACTTGACATTCTAAATTGTATGTAAATAGACTTGTCTGACTATACTACTTTTTTAAAATCTTCTACATTCTAATTTTCGTAAGTATGAGCCTAAAGTAAACGCCTTTCTTTATTAGTTTTAGAAATTAATAAACTAAAGCGAGAAATGCGTAAGTGAAAACCTTATTTGTCTAATTCATTACGGACGGTTTGTTTAGAAATAGTTTTGTTTATTTTATTTATAACATTTAAACATATTTGGAAGAGGATTTGACGTCAGATTTTTTTATTCCTAATCACTGAATGCTTGAGATGTTTGCATTCTGCTTCATTAAGGATTTGTGGTCGATCTATTTGTTTCTTCAAAAGTTATTTTAACTTATATAACTTTCATATACGTCAAACAGAGAAACGAGAACAACTAACAACTGCAGAGATTCTGGAATTTGAATGGCCTAATTTTTTTGTAGCAATAATTTCCCCTTTTTGAACATTGCTAAGTTCTTTTCTGAGACATATTGTTGTGACAAATTTTTCTCATTATATAATGTAAAAAAATTTTTTGTGTGCCTAAATGACCTCATTTATATATTACAATAACGTTTTGTTTATATTTTTAGTTAGACACAGTCACACGCAATTAAAAATGAAAAATTATGGCTTGATTCAGCAGAAGTATAATAATACGCACTACTTTTGCATCACATTAATCAGGGTGGCCAATACTTTTTATACCCCCTTGTATATATATAAAAAACATGTATACTTTCCAGTCAAAAGTATTGAACCACTTTAAAATTATCATAATTTTTAAATTTAATAATCAACTTTAATTTTTAATTATGAAAAATTTTAATAAGTAATTTTACATAAAAAATTTTTTATTTTATCATAAAAACAAATTATTTATAAAAAAAATTAATATTTAATTAAATAACTATTGCTAATTATTACAGCTTAAATCCTTCTCAACACTCTTTATACTAAATTTTTTAAAATTTCAGTTTCAATTTTATTCTATTTTTCATTTAAAATTTCGATGTAAAGTATGTTTACAAACCTTATTTTTTAAAATATCTTATAGATATTCAATTAGATTTAGATCAATTAGCTATACAGACCATAAAATATTTGAGATTGAATTATTATAGTTTCTATTTATTGCTTAATTGTTTTGCCTGATAAACTGTTATATTTACAACTTAAAAATATACTCTAACTCAGTTTATAATTCATCAATAAAAAGCAAAGGATTATTTTTAAATCTTAATGTATACAAAAAACTCATAATTTATCAGAAACTTGTATTAAAAGTCTAATCTTATTTTTCATAAAATACTTTCTATATCATTATGTCTTATTTTTCTGATTTTATTGTAAGAATTAAATAATTTACATCATAATTTTAATGAAAATGATACTAAATACAATGATAAGCATTATTTTAAAATAATAAAAAATGAAATAGAATGGACAAGAATATCTTAATATTTCGTTTACTGTGAATACCTTTTTAAAGGCCAATTATTTTACCTCATTCAAATTCAATAAGTTTTTAGATTTTTGATATTAAACAATATTTAAATATTCATATATTAAAAGCTTGTAATTATGTGAGAAAAAAAATTTAGTTCATTTTTATTCATTTCATCAAAAGTTATGATCAATAAATTATATCAATTTGAGTAATAATAATCATATAATCTAATACTTTTGATTAGGGAATGTATTTAGCACTAAGGTCTAAGTTGAAATTTGATAAAAAAAATGCATTTATAAAGGATGTACATTTATAAAGAATATATTTATAAAAAATTGACTATATACAATATATAAACTTTTTTTTTTATAAAAGATAACTATTAATAAACTTTGAATCTCTAGATCAATTTTAAATTTCAATATTATGTGAACTAAAAAATTAAAGTTATATAGTCTTAGTTCTGAAGTCATTATGTAATAGCAAGAGAAAAATTTCCATTACATACTAACATTACTTCTCTTATTATTTTTTATGTCTTTAAAATATGTTATATAATTATTTTACAATCTAAGCCTTTAGCAAGTGATCTGATATAATTTTGAACTAACAGACTAACAGGTTCAATTTGAAGAACAGATTATTCATAAATTTTTGATTAGTTTATATATATAAGTAACTAAAAGTTATCATTGCATTCTTCAGTAATACTATCATTTATCAGGTAATTTATTTTTTATATCAAATAATTAATTGCTATTTACATAATTGTATTTCAATAATATCTTGAGAATCTTAAAAAATGGTAAATTTATAATATATATAACTTGATTAATTTAAGTGAAAGAAACCATAAAAATAATATACAACTGTAATACAAAAAAATTATTATGTGTATCTTCATTTTAATTTGAATAATATATGAAAAATAATATAAAATCAATTTTTGAAAAATCTAATCAATTGATTTATATTTGTGTTATACATTAGAGATTTATGAGAATTCATTAATTCAGAAATGCAAAAAATATCTTAGAAAAAATTATTATGCCCTAAATGCTAATCTGAATGCAATATATTTCTAGTATTATCAGTTATGTATATTATAAATAATAGTATTTAATTAATAAAATTAACTATAATTACAAAAAAAAAAAACAATTGTCAGGTTATGAATAAACTTAAAGTATTAATCTAATATCTGTTTAATTATAATAAAAGAATTTTAAGAACTACATATAAGATATTTATAAAATTGATATTACTTTATATAATATTAATAAAAATAGTATAACATTTTATTAAAAATTAAATTTTTAAAAAAAAAATTTTATTACTTTATTAAGTATTTTAATATTAGTAAATAAATATTTAAAATTATTAAAATATTAATTAATTCATCTCTATCTTGTAACTTACTTTTTGAGGAAACTGATATTAAGAAAGAAGTTGCCAGACATTTCCAACAGGTTGCTAGAACTACGTATTGTATTAAAGATATCTCAGAGGAATAGACTTCTGCTCATACTCTAATAGACTTAGTCGATTTACATATTTACAATAAATTAATATCCTTACCTTCTGTAGACAAATGGTATAGGATCATTGATCGACTTTCAAACAATAAAACCTCAGGATCATCTAAAATTTTGAATGAAATGTTTAAACATCTAGAACCACTGGTGAAAAAATGTTTGTGATATGTCATTTATAGCTATTTACAAATTTCGTCAATACTTCATCGCTGAAATCTGGTATATATATACCTAATCCCTAAACTGAAACCATGGAAATATAACTTGAATAATACTCACGTAATCACTTTGTTAGAAAGCGCTAGAAAGGCATTTGTTTACCTATTTAATTTAAGACTAGCTGATATTTTTGTACAAAATAATATTCTAAAAGGATACAATTTCGCGGGCTTACCCTTTAAATCCACCTTTGATCCTATTTATACCTTTGATAATATCAAGCAAAATGCTATTTACAATAATGCCAAGTTGTAGGTCCTCTTATAAGATATATTTAAAGCATACGATCATGTGAATGTCTTTATTCTTGCTGCAGCTTTTGCAAGACTACGCCTTCCTGCCAAATTCGTTCACACAATTTTGCAATTATTTCTCCCTAGATTCAACCAAGTTTTCACTGCACATGGAAATTCTGATACATACTTGGTTCATTCAGAAATAGATTAAGGTAAAGTTATATCACCACTTTTGTGGTGTATTTACTATAATCTGCTTTTATGCGCTATCAATAATTCTTCACATGATTTCATTATAGAAGTCGAATGACATCCTGATGCCTATCTTCCTGTATCTAATACTTCTTGTTTAAAAATTCCAGCTCTTGTCTACATGGATGATACTCTTTGGCTTGCTAAATCCAGGAAGAACCTTACAAATATTACGTCTATTGCAAATAGTTTCTTCACCTTCAACAATATACAAGTAAACTAGTCAAAATCAGAACTCTTGATCAACACTCTGCAACAACATCCTTTTGAAATCAATCATAATAACACTATGTGATCTATTAATGCTCTTTTCCTAAAAGCTAGTATTAGATATTTAGGTGTTTGGATCTCACTCAAGTCTGATAAAAACTTTATCTATAATCAAATTCACAATGAAATCAAAAAGGTTGTTACTATTATGAAGTATAAACTCCTTATAGATTTACAGTTAATTTACATTTTTAATATTATTTTTTTTTTGAGAATCGAGTATAGATCTCAACTTACGTTACCATTTGAATCACAATGCAAAAGCTTTATCACTACTTACCTAGCCTTTGTAAAAAGAAAATTAAAACTTTCCAGATATACTTTGACAGACTTATTCCATTCACATTATTTTTACAATTTGACTTCACTCTATTAATGACTGATACAGAATTTCAGCAATGCTCTTTTACAAATGTCCAATGAAATGAATATACTTGAAAGATCTTTTTATCTATAAACTCTACACTTCAACAAAAAAAATGGCTCTATAATAATCCTCTTTTCTATTGGCCTTTTTTGAAAATAACAAGAGTCAACAATTGGTTCCCTTCTCTCCTTTGTGATCTCAACTTAATGAATCTCAAACTTAATGTACCTCCTGCTCTATCAAATAGAATCTTAAAAGGTGATTTCCCAATTTCTGAATTCATACTTAATAATTACAGGAAGCATACTCCTAGTTTATAAAAATTTTCACTGCTTTTCATAAAGCAACTTATTAATTATCAAGAAAATTACATGTTCACTTTTCATGATCTGTATACTATCACACATCTAATTACCTGTAGTTTTCAAACGCCAAGCTGGTATAAAGCCTTAAAATTTTATCTCAATCCTAATCAAGATAGAAGAATTGTATTCACAAATAGTTTCAAACACAAATACTGTTACGGTTACTTTATTATAAGACCTACCTATTCCTAACATACTCTTGAGTTTGCAGTCAGTTGGCATTCTTTAGTCAATTACTATGTCCTAGGAAGAATTATAAGAATTGATCAAGACACAGTACATCTAATATATCACATACCTTCAATTGGACCTGATAATATCACAATCCTTAATTCTTGTATTCGTTATCAAATTCATCAGGAATCTACTATTAAATTTAAAGGCCATTATGATAATTGTTACTTCACGCTACCTTTCTTCCTCTATCAAAAATTTTCACCTCATTCAAAAATAATCGTATTGATTGAACCCATAATATTCTGTTTAATGACGCATTATATGAACTTGCCTTAACCTGTTTTTTGAAAAACAATAATCAAAGTCTATTTGCAGCCCCAAGAAATTTTATCTCACCAACCTTTACTAATATATTTGACAAATATTTGTCACCTCCTTATAATTCTTAATTATTAACTTTGTCTCGCTTTTTTTTATCTTCTTCTGTTTTAGAATTTTACATAGATGAATCCTTATAAGATATAGGTCTTCCTTCAATAAGAATAGGTATTGCATAGCTTCAAACTCACCAAATTTCTCTAATAGTTTCCTTTTCCTTTGCCTTTATATCTTCTTTCTCTTCCTCCTCATTATTTGAATTCGTAGCTAATATGTAGTATTGATAATTAGATTAATTGAATTAATTAAACAATTATATATAGTTCAAATAATTCAAATTAACAATTAGATAACTAGACTTAATTTAATTATTAATTACTTTTTAATCAATTAAAATATATAAAATAACATATTAAAAATTTATAAAAAATCTAAAAATAAATTTTATTTATTAATTTTCATTTATATATTAAAACTATTATTAATAATTACATATGTAATGCTGATATGTTAAGGTATAATTGATATAAGTCCAATTAAATAATTAAATAATTAGACATAATATAATTTTATTAAACATTTAATTAGACAATTGACAATTGAATATAATTAAATTATATCTAATTATTTAATTATCTAATTTATCAATTAGAATAAATCCAATTTTAACATTGCTGATAGTTTAGTATAAATTTAATTGTAATATAAGTTTTATATAATTGAATAAAATTTTTTATTATATATTTTTTATGTAAGCATTAATCTTTTTTATGAATATTATTAATTACTTTTTAAATTAAAATAAATTAATAACATTTACTTATTATTAAATATGCAAATTCTATTTACTTATTTTAAAATACATAAAGTTTAATTATTTTATTATTGAATATACAAATTTTGATCACTTTATAATAAAGTAATTATATTATGTTAGTTAAAGATTAATATTTAAGTTATAACTTTGTAAAGAAATATCAGGTAAAAGTTTAATTATAATATTATTATTAATACAAAATAAAGGATTTCAATTATTAGTACTAGATAAATACTTTTAATTTTTATCATAAAAAGTAATCATTAGATAATTAGAGTAATAAGTTGATTTAAAAGATACTGTTAAGTCTTTACATTTTCTGATATATTAATTTGACTTAAATTTTAAATATTTTATATTGCAGAAGTTTAAGCCTGAGTTTGAACTATAGAAATTTAGATTTCTTAAACAGTAAATATAAGCAAATCGTTATTTAAATCTATAAAATATTTTTTTTTTTGAGTAAATAAAAGAGACTAATAAAATAAAATTTTATCATATTGATTTTATTAAAATTTAAATCAAAATTTCTTGAATAATCATTAAATTCATATTCTTCAGAATCTAATTCTTATAATATAAAAAAAATTAATAATTATATATTTAAAATATGCTGATTTTCACTAGTTTACAATAATTTGCAAAACTTTTATGAGATTGATATTTAGAAAATGATTGAAGATCAGAATCAAAAGTTTATTATCTTTAAAAGTATTTTCTAAAATATATTAACTTTTTGTAGATTCAGAAAATCCTGCTAAATTTAAATTTTCATGTTTATTATCATGTTTATTATCATTCTTATTTGTTTCACTCTCTTCATTATTCTCTTTAATATCATCTTCACATTCTTTATCTAGGATTTTATTTAAAGTTTTATTTAATTTAGATGGTTTTATAATTTTTAAGTTTATTTTTTAGGTATATCTGATTCATTAATTTTAATATTCTTATCAGAATAATATAAATGTAAAATAGTATCAAGAGTAAAATCATAAATTTTTTGACTTTGTTGCTTAATTTCAAAAAAATTCATAAATAAAGTTGCATTTGAATATGCTATTTTAATTGTATTATAAATATTATTATCACTTGGTTATTATCTTAATAATTCAATTTTATTTGCAAATAAACAGATTCATCAATATCATAAATATATTCTAATAAATAAAATGATAAATTTTTATTAAACCTAAAATAATACAATAAATAAAACCTGATTTTATATACCTTATGCAGATGTTTTCTTTTGATTATTGGTCAAATTTTTAAGCTGTAAAAGTTTATCTTTATACATTACTCTATTTAATATTTTATATAATTCATAATAAATAAAATCTGATACAATTTGTCTTGCCAATTTAGATACATATTTAATAGCTTTAGTTTTATATTTTCATAGAAAAATGAAAAATTTAAATAAAAATCTTAGTATATAATTATTAATAAAAGTATTGATTCAGTCAAACTAATAAAAATTTTCAACTTTATATAGAAATACAATATTTTGAAAAAGAATACCATTTTTTGAAATGAAGATTGCTACATTACCTAAGTATTCTTTTTATATTATTAAAAAAAAATAAGCTCTTATTACTATAATAATACATATTTTATGAGAAATAGAATGATTTAAGTATTCATCAAATAATTCACCTAATAAATTAAGAAAATATTAATATAATTATAATAAATAAAAATAATTTTAATATTAAAAACTTACTAATAATAAATAAATAAATAAATCTATTTTATCAAAATTAATAATTCTAAAAAACCTATATGTTATATCATTATCTTATTTATTTACATTAATAATATCTCTTATAAATAAAGCAGAATTTTCATCTTTTGTAATAGCTAATATTTGATCATATTAAACAGTATATTTATCAAGTACTAATAATCATGTTCTACTATATATATTATTTCTACCATTCTTTTTTGCATATTTTAGATCTTAAATCTAGATTATTGATCAATTACTATAAGTTGATGCTGAAAAATTAATATAGTTAAGTTCATTTTTATACTGCAAAAATTGATTACTTGATTTTCTTTTATTAATTCTATTTATACATTAAACTTGCTAGCTGCTCTGTCAAATGTAATACTAATTAATTTCAAATTAGCTTATATTATTATATTATTTAATTTGTATAACAGATTGTATATTTTATTTGTAGTATCATTTCCTTTGATAAGTAATTAAGTAATTATGATAAAAGAAATTCACGTAATTGAAATCTAAAAGAATTAATTAGTAAATAAAAATAAATAATAAAAAATCTATTTATATAATATAATTTCTTACCTTTAATAAAATGCAATAAACTTGTGAGGCAATTTCATTTTTTTCCTGAATATTTTTAATTATTTTATGTATATTACTATATGTTTAAACATTTAATTTCTCAAAAGACATTGTAAATCTAACAATACAACCTAATTTTTTGAGAATATGTTAATTTAGATTGAACTTTTATACAATCAGTCATTATTATTACTAGACTATTTCAATTTAAAGCATTTATAGTTCTAGCTAGAGTTCTAGATGAATCGAGTTAACTCATGAGTCAGATAAGTTGAGTTAAGTTTAAATCGAGTCAAGTTTATATTTTTTTGACTTGATGATTTGCAAGTCAAATCAAATTCGAGTCGAGTTAAATATTTAACTCGACTCAATTAAACTTGACTCAAACTTGACTTGACTTGAGTTGACTTAAAATAGTATTATTAATAAATTAATATTTTAAAACTATAAAAATTATACATTATAAT